GAACAAATGAAAAATTATATCAAAAGAGTAATGGAAACTTTCTTGGAGTGATTGAGATGTTTGAAGAGTTTGACCTGGTTATGAAAGAGCATGTACGTCGTATCAAAAATGATGAGATCCATGTACATTATCTTGGCCACAAGATCCAAAATGAGGTGATACTTTTACTAGCTGATGAAATTAAACGAAAAATCATTAAAAAAGTAAAGGAAGCAAAATATTACTCCATCATACTTGATTGTACCCCTGATACAAGTCACCAAGAACAAATGTATTTGATAGTGAGGTATGTAAATTTCTCCTCCAATGATGTTACTGTTGAAGAATCCTTTTTAGGTTTTTTGAATGTTAATGATACCACTGGTAAAGGGCTCTTTGATATTACACACGATGAATTAAAATCTCTTGGTCTTGATATTGATGATATGCGGGGGCAAGGGTATAACAATGGATCAAACATGAGAGGAAAACATCAAGGAGTTCAAAAGAGATTTTTGGACATAAATTCTAGAGCATTTTATACTCAATGTGGTTGTCATAGTCTTAATCTTGCACTGTGTGACATGGCTAACAGTTGTAGTAAAGCTAGAGATTTTTTTGGAGTCATACAACGAGTATATACAATATTTTCCAATTCTACTAAGAGGTGGCAAATTCTGAAAGAGAATATTAAAGGTTTGACTCCAAAGTCATTGTCTGCCACTCGGTGGGAAAGTCGTGTTGATAGTGTGAAGGCTATTAGACAACAACTTCCGGATTTAAGAGAAGCTTTACTTGAAGTTGCGGAAAAAGACAACGATGCTAAAATCCAAAGTGAAGCTAAATCGCTAGCAAATAATGAGCTTGGTGGATTTGAGTTTTTGGTATCCATAGTCATTTGGTATCAAATATTGTACATGGTGAACTTAGTTAGCAAAAAATTACAATCAAAAGATATGCTTCTCGATGTTGCTATTAACGAAGTGAATATGCTAATTGAGTACTTCAAAGAGTTTAGAGAAACAGGGTTCTCCAAGGCAATTGATGATGCGAAGGAACTTTCTGTTGAAATGAATATTGATCCGGTATTCTCTCAAAAGCGGCCGGTTAGTAGAAAAAAACAATTTCATGAGAATTCAAGTGATCAAGATGTTGTATTTTCAGCCGAGGAGAATTTTAAAGTTAATTACTTTTTATATATTGTTGATCAAGCAAGTGCATCTCTTAAAACAAGATTTCAACAATACAAAGCATATGAAAATATTTTTGGTTTTTTGTTTCCAAAAAAATGAAGGAATTTGATGACAAAGATCTCAAGTCATGTTGTCGCCGTCTTGAAGCCGCACTTAAGTCTGGTGAACAATCAGATATCGATTCTCATGAACTTTATATGGAGTTAAAGCTGCTTGACATGTTCTTACCGAGTGAAATTACGAGCCCTATTGATGTTTTAAAGTATATGAAAAAAGTTGATTGTTTTCCTAATGCAATTATTGCCTACAAAATCTTGTTGACTATTCCCGTAACGGTCGCGTCTACAGAAAGAAGTTTTTCAAAGCTAAAGTTGTTGAAGTCCTACCTAAGGTCCACAATGTCACAAGAAAGACTTAATGGATTGGCGATAATAGCTATTGAGAACGTTATATTGGAGACTATTGATTATGAAGAGTTGGTGAACAATGTTGCTTCCAAGAATGCTAGGAGAGTCTCGCGATTCATGTAGTTGTCTAAGATTATCTATTGTATGATCGTTCTTTTCTTTTGCTTCATATTATAACAATTATGAAATAATTAATGAATTTTTGATATAAGTAAAAATAAATATATATTTAGGGGCCCATTTTTTAGTTTCGCACCGGGCCCTTAAAATCAACGGACCGACCCTGCATAGCATACTAGTACATAATCATAACAGTTAACGATATACCAGATAATTATCACAAAGACAATTATCTCTACTATAATTCTTACTAGTGGGTCAGCGTTGGTGCCCTCGACCCACTTCATTATGCATTTACATTTGTCATTGAGTTCTTGTACTAACAAGTGATATTAGAGCAAGAATTTTCAAGCTGCTTGGAATTTCATCTCATTTTTCATTCAAAACATATTTTTCAAGTTGCTTGGAATTTCATCTCATTTTCATTCAAAACATATATTCGTTTTTCTGTTTGAATCTCAAATTTCTATAGTTTTGGCAATTTCCTTCTTGTTTCAATGGCAAAATTCAATTAACAGGCATTGTACAACATCGCAAACAATGTTGGATCACATAATTGTGCTATAATCCTAATTCCTAAAGAATGTGATCAATAGGTGATACACATTAAAGATTATCTCTATGGACTCGATGAAGACTTTTAGAGATCAATTAAAGCTAGACCTCACACATCTGAAGAAAATATTTATCGTTTCACGACTTATGATCAGGAATATTTTATATTTTTACTAATAAAAAGAAACTATGAATTAATCTTTAATGCAAGCATGAACTCAAGTAAGAACTTCCTCTAAATATCTTTATCCATGTTTAGAATTGGAAAATCCCATAAAAGATGTGGAAACATCTGGAAAATCTATATGAAGGCACTTGAAAAATAAAGAAAAGTAAGGTCGCAAATATACTTGTTGAAGTTAAGAGATTTTATGCAAAAATATGAATAACCACTAGATCAGACTTTCAGAAGGTTCATTTTACCGGTGTACAAACTCAAAAAAATGGAATCAATAAAGATTTACATGATATTGATGTTACTTTCATGCTTTCTTTAAGAAGTGAATGGATGATGATCACGATAATGGTAAAAGAACATGAGAACATGTATACATTCTCTTTATATGATATGTATGGCGTTTGGAAGTGTCGTGAAGACTATGTCATGGAAGAGTTAAAAGAGAAGTGTTATGGTGGTCCATTAGCTATTTTATCGAAGGAAGAGAATGTTTGATCAAAGCAAGCTAAAGAAGTCATGAATTCTAAAGCTTCTAATGATAAGGATTTTGATGAAGATCATGATTTAATTTTCAACAACAGAGCAAAAGTTTTTTTTATTGAAAGCCGAACTCAGGATCTTAGAATCGCTCATGTATGAACTTGAATTCTTTGTAAATCAAGGTTCTAATCAATCTGAAAATTTGCATGTAATTTCACCATAAAATATCAACTGATGAAATGAATTTTGAAACTTCGAAGGAAAAGAAACTTTTAAGAGATTCAGGTACTAACTATTTTTTACGTAAGAATCATCTTGCTAGGGATTATATGTTGAAGAAGTAACAAGAAAAGAATGAAAAAGTTAAAGACATGACATCTACATTGCTAAGCTCAAAGAAATTCAAAAAGTTGCCAATAACATGTCATTGATTGTTATGAATGACAAAGATGAAATGGAGGTGTGTTTATCATGAGATGATTACGAGGAAATGAAGTGTCCTACTCATGAATGTTTGATAACTGAGCACGGAGGTAGTGAGGTAGTACTAGTGAAAAGCCTTGTGAAAAGGAAGCTATTGAGAAATGTTTGATGTCGAACAAGCCAAAGAAATTCAAGATGATTGTACAACCATAGGTCAAACTCTCATTTCCTAATTAGGGAAGAAAATAAGGCAAAAGGGAGATGTTGGTTGTCCAATGCGTTTTAGAATATAAGAAACCGAAAAATATAGGCATTAGAGAGGGATGTTGATTGGTTAAATGATGATATAATCGTTTTAAGTTTTAGAATATAAGAAACCGAAAAATATAGGCATTAGAGAGGGATGTTGATTGGTTAAATGATGATATAATCGTTTTAAGACAAGAAAAAAAACTGATTTTGAAACAAAGAAATAATTTCTATAACATTGCAGATGACAACCTTTTCATAGTATGACCAAATGACGAAACTTTTTCATAGTAGTGATATTTTTGAACATCGAAACTTTTTACCATTTGTTGAGTCAAAAACAAATATTGTTGATAATATTACTTAGGACTATGAAAGCGTTGTGTTTTTTGATTCGATGCCTAATCTATTGTACACGTATGAGATTGTTCCTACTCTAGTCTCTATATTTGGTTATTTTTGTGATCTAACATTATATTATAAGTTTTGAATCAAATAATGGTAATTACATAACCCTAAAACGTGGATTTTAAATGTATGTTTCTAAAAATAAAAACCGAATGAGAGCATAATTCTATTTCAGATCAAACACTGCAAATGTTTTCGAATGATAAATCCCAAAACTGTAAGGGTGAGATATGAAAAAGTAACCTAATTGTGGTTTCTTTATTATAAGCACCCATGATAACAATGATTACCAATTATTTTCCTAAGAATTGAATATAAAAACAAAAAGCAAATTTCCAAGTCCTCTTCTTTGATTCCATTTCCATGTGAACTGTGACACCACTGAAACAGTAACCACCACTATATTCCTTTCGCCAGATAAACAAACCAAATTTAATCCACAATTTAGGGTTTTTTAATCACAAGTTGTGGTTGTATACTGTAGACACAATCACCAGTAATGTCAGATTAGGGTTCTTGCTTCCAGACACAACTCTCAGAAACCACAGTTGTGGAATCAGATCGAAACCACAATTCCTTCCTTCTGAAGCTGAATTTTGACCAAACCCATCATCATTTGATTGGTATGGAAGCTTCACTTTATTTATCCTTTATTCTTTAATTAATTTATAGTATTATCTTTCCCTTTTTCCCCTTTTTGTGAATTTTTTATCTCTCAAGTCAGATTCGTACACCCTTCTCGTTTCTCTAATCATTGACTGTATTTGAAAACCGAAACCCACTTATTACTTCAGATTCGGTAAATGGGTTCTTTTCAGTCTTTCAAGCTTTGAAGCTTTGAAGCTTTTCTGATCTGGGTTTTGTTGGGATTTCTTATTCGTCGATCATGATCTGGAAGATGGGGTTTTGATTTGGATTTGGATTTTGATCTGTTTTCGTTGGAATTTCGTGAACCAGATATCAATATCACGATCTAGGGTTACCGAATTTGATCATTTGCAAATTGCAATGGGGGGAAATGAAATAACTGTTGTAATGGAATTGAAGCTGGAAGAAGATGAAGACGAGTTCCGAAGCTGTTGTGCAGATGAGGAGGAACTCGATGTGGAAGAAATTACGAAACAAGGTTTAAATTTTTGCACCGATGATGAATTTCTTGATGAATTTTCTGTACGATTGTTCTTCAAGGGCGTATCGATTTCAAATCATGGAAACAATGGCTTCAATGTCTCTGGAATCGGGGTTGTAATGGAAGGAGCTAACAAGGTTCCTGTTATTCAAGTGCAAAAAAAGCTTGATTTCTTTGTAGATGAATCAGTTGCTGATTATTTGGCTTTAATGGAAGGTCTATTAGAAGCTACACAAAATAACATCAAAAGAGTATTCGCATTCACCGATTCCACAATCTTATTTCATCAGGTATTGTAATTTGTATTCATTTTGGGTTAAGTCAATAACTATCAAATTAATTAAGTTATTTATTTACGTATATGTAACATATCTCTCAGATTACAACCGAAAAAACATTGGAAAACCCACTTCACATGGCATTGAAGCAAAGAGTTCTAGAACATGTCACAAATCTTGATCATTTTGTTCTAAAATATATTCCCAAGGTTTTAGAGGCGTTACATCTTGCTAAAGTGGCAATTGGAATGATTCATCTTCCAATTAAAGGCGATAATTCAGTCCAGAAATGTTCAATTTGTTTAGAAGAAAAACCAACACCAATAACAATCACAATGAAATGCTCCCACAAATTTTGTTCAAGTTGCATCAAATCTCACGTTGAAGAAAAACTCGAGTCCTCTCAAGTCCCGGTTAAATGCCCTTGTGTAAATTGCCGATATTACATTTCTACCCCTGAGTTCAAATCTTTTCTTCCGGTTGTCTCTAATGCATTGTTGGAGGACACAATGAATTCGATTGGTGGAGATAAATTTTATTGCCCTTTTTCTGATTGCTCGGTTTTGCTTGATCCATGTTGTGATTTGAATGATAATAATAATAATAATAATTGTGTGGAGTGTCCGGTTTGCTTGAGGTTTATATGTGTGAAATGTGGGGTGACGTGGCATGCTTCAATGAGCTGTGATGAGTTTCAAGACCGCCCACCGGTGGCGGTGGATGGTGGTGGCGGGGCGGAGATTGGAAGATGGAGGCGGTGTGAGATGTGTGAAAGAATGATCGAATTGACACGTGATCACATGACTTGTTGGTATGCTTTTTTGTTTTTATTTTATACTATTTTTTGACTTTCTGTATTAAGTTGTTCTTTCTTATTGACTTAACGAGATCAAATGACAATTTTACCCTTACATTCGTATTCATCAATTTTAACTTGAGTTTTCAATTTAGGTGTGGACATGAGTTTTGTTATTCATGTGGGGCCCAATACATTGACAGTGAACAAACATGCGAATGTGCGATATTGGGAAGTGATGGAGGAGGAGAAAATGACGAATTTACCCTTACACAGAATATCGGTTCGAGCACTGCGATTGAGGAATGGGCATGGGATTCATGTGGGTCACTTTCAAATTTGATGGATGCGTATTCAGATCAAGAAAGATCACAACTTGCATTGATTCAAAGATTTCTTGCTGGAGGATTTAGTCTTGGAGATCATCATACATCCATGTATCAATCTCAATCTCAATCTCCTCCACATCAATGCACAGATTCTGGATCTTCATATCTTGATAACACCATGAAAGACCTTCATCAGCTTCCTTGGCTTGAGAGGTTTGTTTCTGTGATTAGTGACAATTATTATGAGGAGTATACTCAGTGAAGTATATTACATATTTGAAAATAGATAAAATGAAGAATTGAAAGATGGAGATTGGAGATTGGAGAGAGGAAGATTGTCATTTGTATTGTATTGTAGCCATTAAACGTGGTTAAATTAATGAATATAATCTTCATCTTGAAGATTGTATTGAATTATTCTTGTATACTGTTCATGTTCAGTATGATCTGTTCTTTTTTTTTTGAAAGGAAGGATATATTACAAGAAAATGAATACGAAATACTTTCTGTGTTATCTGGATTCAAGTAACTTTTTTTTTTTAATTTTTTTTAATTTTTAATTTTTTATTTTATTGAAGTTGGGGGTTTATGAGTCGTGTATTGCCATTTGGGCATTTCAACATACAGTTGGTGGGCGTGAATGTTTTTTGTTTATGTTGAGATTTTAACTGATGCACAAGCAAGCTTGGGAAGAAGTAGAGATGGAAATGGAGATACCTGAGGTAGTGTTTGTTGTTTGAATGTGCCTTGGGGACTTGAAGCTATGATCATGGCAGATCTAAAGAGGCAAATCAATGGAGAAAAGAGCAGGAGCAGCTGATTTCATACTCATTAGAAATCGTATTTATTGTTATGGAAATTTTGGTTATATCAAATTCATGTACTCCAACGGATCAACTTATGGAATTGAATCGAACAATCTTGGGGAAGATCAAACTGATGAGAAATGAAAAAAAAAACCATATTCGGCTAAAATCATCAGGATACCAAATGATCTTATAAAGCACACGTAAGAATTTCATTTTAGATCTATATCCCTTAAATTTCATTATGATTAAGCCCAAAAAAAATAAAATATAGAGCGATTATTATTATTATTATTATTATTATTATTATTATTATTATTATTATTATTATTATTATTATTATTAAGGTGAGTTTTGATTTGGATTCGATCTAATCTATCCATATGCTCTCATGTTAAAAAAAAGTTGGTTGCCTATTTAAATAAGGAGAAAAGGACGAATATTACCATATTGGCATATGGTTTGTCACAAAAAAAATAGTTAAAAAATATCATTTTCCATAAAATAACTATTAATTTTACGATGAATCTATGCAAAATCTTGAAATTTGTTTTTTGTAGGGCTACATGATAAATATTAAAAAAAAAAAACATACTTTGAAATTGTTTATGTTATTGCGAAAATAATCTTTTTTTATCAACTTTTCTTTGTGGCGTGGATCTTTTCAAAGGAGATTTTCCACGTAAAAAAGAGCTTCATTGCAAAAATGATATGCTTAAAACATTTTCATGGTAAAGCTATATTATAGCTTACAAATATTGTCACCTCATTATCATTTCTTTAAAATGGTGGAGTTGATGGTTAGAACTTAATATCATAAAATTGTTTACGTAAGGGTTAAAATTCGATATCTTCAATCTAAGAGGTAAAACTTCTACTAAGTTTGTTAGTTTTACTTTGACACCTCATTATCTCCTTAAATTTAACTTCTTATTAAATAACATCTCCAATAGTTGACCTCTTCATATAGCATTTTTTAAGAATTTAAATAATATAATCTCATTTATCTAAATTTTCTACAAAATTAATTAAATTTTCATAATAAAAACTTAAAATTATTAATCAATTATTTTAAATAAACTCTTTTAAATAAATTATTAATTAATAGATATTTTTTTAGTTATATAATATTATAAGCATTGATTTAACTAAATATGTGATCTTATAATCTATATTGATTTTATTTTATTTTTTATTATAATGTTATTAATTTAATTTAATTAGAGTGAAAATTTTAAAATTTGAAATTTGAAATAGATAATCAATAGGTTGACAAATGACATGACATTAGTTATGATACCTAATAGGACGACACATGATAAAAGAAGAATAAACTTATTCTTTTATTAGAATAAAAAGAAACGTATATATATAAATGTGTTATATTTAATCATCAATTAATAAAATGTATTTAAAACTAAAAAATAAGTAAGGGGCAATATGAAATAGTGTTAAAAATAAAGGGGTTAAGTGTTCAACCCTTCATTGTATATTGATGGTTAATAAGAATAAACGAAAAAGTCATGTTCTCTGACAGCTTAAGTCATCGGTTAATGACCTAGAAAGGTAACGAACTTTGGTCTTTGTCCACATTTAGGTAATCATGTTTTTTCCGTTCATATTTGATCATTAAACTTGTTTGACCTGTTCAAAATAAGGTAATATGACTGATAATTACGGTAATATTACCATATTATAAACAAGTCAAACAAGTTTATTGGTCAAATGTGTACGAAAAAAAACATGATTACCTAAATATAGACAAAAACAAAAGTTTCTTTTATCCGTTTTGGTAATATTATACAAGAACCGTCTCAGGGATTGTGCCCTGGGATTAGGCTCCGACAGTCAATGAACAATTAGGTTAGGCTTGGTCTAACCCAATTCAGTCGCAATTAGTCATGGGTTAGGCTGTGTTGCTAGGTCTTTAAAGCATACATAGTCTAACCCCTTAAGCGTATACAACCTGACTCCTAACTAGCTGAGCCTAAACTGAGTTGGCCCAAGATTTGACCATCTCCTCATACACAAAGACCAGTCAACCCGATTAGTTGCACTTAACATAAAGAGCCCAATATTACCAAAATAGGTAAGAAACTTTGGTTTTTGTCAATATTTAGGTAAACATGTTTTTTCCGTACATATTTGACCAGTAAATTTGTTTGACCTGTTTGACCTGCCATATTAACTTATTTTGAAAAAGTCAAACAAGTTCAATGGTCATATTACCTTATTTTGAAAAAGTCAAACAAGTTTAATGGTCATATTACCTTATTTTGAAAAAGTCAAACAAGTTCAATGGTCAAATGTGTACGGAAAAAAACATAATTATCTTAATGTGAATAAAGACTAAAGTTCGTTATCTTTCTAGTTCATTAACCCTTAAGTCATCTTGATCACTTAAGCAAATACTAGTAAAAAGCTCTAAAATAATCTTCCCTTAGATATGCTCTTATATTGAGAGATTTAAAAGAAATTGGAAAAAATAAGGAAAAATCTAGAAAATGTATTAATTAGGGGATGTCAAAATTATTATATCTAAATTACGAAGGTTGATGGATGTTTCTATCCGTATTTTGAGAAATTAAATATTTTCTTACTTTTTGTTCCTACATATCCTCGTACCCAATAAAATGGTGACATGTATAACATTTAATGCTCATTTAATGAGATATTTAATTTATCTTTTGTTACTATTTAATTTAATGAGATATTTAATTTAATGAGATACTTAAGAATAAAAGATAGAAAGATATTTAATTTATCTTTTGTTACTATTTGTTTTGTTTTGTTTTTTTTTTTTAAATATCATTTTTTATTATTTTACATTTTAAAATACTTTATAAAGTGCTCTTCTATTCCTTTTTAGAATTTCTATTTCTTTTTAAGATGTCACTATGACCATTTATTTTAAAATTTATAAAATATCATTTTCATCCCTTATATTTTCTTCATTTTCATGTTTATTTACTGTAACTGCTTTATATCTATATTAAGAAGTAACGACGGTGGAAGTGTCCATTGACGCTTTGCACCTCCACTTTTTAAAATGATATTTTTCGGCATTTAAAAAAAAATACTTTTATCTAAAATGGTATTCCCTTCTTTTTTAAAATGTCATTTTAATCTTAACTTTGGAATTTGTGAACTCTTATTTTCATCCCTTTTATGTTCTAAAATTTTGTATTTATCGATTATAGTTTTTTTGATTGCTTTCTATTTTGATATTTTCACCTCTATTTTTTAAAATACTTTATAAAATGATATTTTCCTCGTAATCTTTTTAAAATGTCACTGTAACTCCCTTCATTTTTAACTTTGTAAAATATCTTTTCCACCCTCTCTATTTTTTAAACTTTTGTATTATCCTTCGTGGTCTATGTTTTGATGTTTTTTGTTTAACTTTATAGTGTTTATTTTTACTTGTTCTTCCTACATATGTAGGTCACATATAATATGTTTTTGATTATTTGAACTTCCATTCGTTACTTAAAAATAATCTTACTTATTGATTTTTATGTACGTATCGATATAAATTCCAGTTCCTTTACGTTTTCTTGCTTATTTTTATGTAAGTTTTCTACGTATAAATTTGGTCACATATAATTTCTTTAGACGGTATATATCGAAGTTAGTCAGTGATACTAACTTTGTATATTTATCCACCAACAAATACAACAGTACCAGACTTTTATAATATCATTCGACAAAATTCAACTTACAAAATGAATTTGCACTGTCGCAATGTGCAAAAGACAAAACCCTAGTTTATGATTATTTTGTGAAAGGTGTACAAATTTTTTTTTTTTTTTTGGTAATAAATCATATGTTATTATTATTATTATTATTATTGTTATTATTATTATTATTTTGTAACAAATCGTATGTTAGTGTGACTATGTTTTGTCTTTTTCTCTTAAATAATACTATAATTAAAACGTTTATTTTTAACTAATTAAATTATTAAACTTCCATTACATGAATCCTTACTTTAAATACCCCCATACATCATCCACTTCCTTCTAGTTATCTCGTATCTTACCAACCCACCGTCGTTAGTGCTCCACTGCCCCTTTCATTCTCTTTAAAACACTTTTGTTTCCATTTTTGTCTATTTGCTTTTTATTATTAAGCGTTTCAAAGAATTAACTAAATATATGCCTTTTATATGTTTATGATGACACCTTTTAAACGATAGTGGTTTTGCGACCACAAGTTTGAACATATGAGCACTTCTATTGACAAGTGAATTCTCTTTATAGGTAAAAGAAGGGAAGAAAATAAATAGTTTAAGTCTATATATTTATTACTTTAAGGACATTATAATTTATTTCTTCGATAATAACCATGACAAAATGTTAAATTATGATTTAGTCATAAAGTATAGCAACTTATGTTTTAAATTTACCATTTATTTAGGTAATAAAGGGAGTGGTAACACTCCTACCATTTGACACATCAACTTTTTAACTGCCATCTCATCT